GGGAGCCTCCCCTGGCTGATGGCGTCAAGTGAGTGGCGGCAGTGTACGACTGCTTCCATGGCAGCTGCCTCTCTGGGCTGTGTTCCCTAGGCAGCTAGCCTGTGAGGGCTGCGTCCCAGTGCAGGGTGGGCCCCTCTGCTGCCGGGCAGTGGCTGATCATGTCCCTGTTTCCCCACAGAGATATTAAGCCCGACAACGTCCTTCTGGACGTGAATGGTCACATCCGGCTGGCCGACTTCGGATCATGCTTGAAGATGAATGATGATGGAACTGTAGGTATTTCCGCTCGAGTTTGGATTAGACTTGTAGTTAGAAGGTTCCGAAACATTCATATTTGAGATATAATTGAGAAGCCAAGTTAATTAATGTAAATTAAGAAAATGAGTCCATTGAAGAGACAGCTGTAATTTTCTGTTTTGGGACATTTTCTTTAGAAACATCTTTGTCGGTTCTTACATTTACAAAAGTCATATGATACGCCTTCTAAAATACGAAGTTGTCAGGTTTCCTCTGATCCCTGAGCAGCAGGGAACCGACCAACATTGCGAGAGGAGGGCCGCTTGCACCTCTTCCTCAACTGCCCTGTCCAGGCCCCTGGGTGGGCGCCGACCATGTGGCTGTGGGCTTCGCTGCTCTGGGGCAGGTGGTCCTGCCAGTCGGCTTTTCTCCTTGTGGTGCTGAGCATCTCGAAACAGGGCCCCTTGATTCCCGGAGTGAGGGCAACCACCATTCCTGGCCCAGTAGGGGCCTGGACCGCCAGCCACTGTGGCCCCCGATGGTCAGGTCAACACCGAGGCAGCTGTCCTGAGGCTGCTTGTGGGGGGTTCTGTGGCTGCTGTGTTCTCTCCTGTCCTGATTTTATGCACATGTGTCGGAAGTCTTTTCTGCTCTGAAATACATGTACCCTAAAGTTCAACCTCAAATGCTTCTCCAAGAAGTAGGCCTGTCCTTGGTACCAGCCCGCTTCTGAGCAGCAGTAAAGAGCCTGCAGGTCGGCTGTAGTCTGCAGTGTGTCCAGAGGAGTGAAATGATTGGTTTGCTTTTGTCCCACAAAGATTTTTCAGAAATATTGACCACATACTGAGTGATCGATGGGTTGGTTCCCCTTCTTATTGGCACATCACCCCATCACATGGACAGTTACCCTGAGTGGCCACCCAGCATGCCTGGCCACTGTGGGCAGCAGGCTGTGCAGACAGTGACTGGTCACTGGTCCTGATGCCTGGATAGACTTCCAGATGCCCCCATTTGGGGAACCGAGGTGGGGGCAGCCTTTGCATCCCTGGGAGCTCGTTGGGCATGCTCATCCTGAGCCCTGCTCCGAGGCTCTGGCCACTGCTGGGGAAGGTCAGGGAGGTGCCTGCCCACACTGGGGCGGAAGTGGGGTGTGCAGATGTTGGCCCTGGGGCACTCCCATAGGCTGCCACTGGGTGCCAAAGCAGGCACTTGGGCATTGAGAGACTGGCGTGTGTGCAAACGTCCCACACAGGGCACCGCGCGCGTTCAGTGCTGGGAGAACGTTTAACTTGAACTTTACGCTCTTAGGTTTGTAAGTCACGATCACTCACACTGTCCCATGAGCGTTCGGAGAGGGCCGTTAGGGACACGTAGAGCTGCTCTGGGGCTCCCCATCAGTGCCTCTTCCCCCAAGGTCCAGTCCTCAGTGGCCGTGGGCACCCCCGACTACATCTCCCCGGAGATCCTGCAGGCGATGGAGGACGGCATGGGCAAGTACGGGCCTGAGTGTGACTGGTGGTCCCTGGGCGTCTGCATGTACGAGATGCTGTACGGGGAGACCCCGTTCTACGCCGAGTCGCTCGTGGAGACCTACGGAAAGATCATGAACCATGAGGTGAGGTGTCCGCTTCCCCCCCGCCCCCCGTGTGCCTGGGCCCTGGCATGGGCCTAGTGGGAGGGGGCTCAAAGAGAGCTGGGATAGCCCAAGAACAGGCTCGGGTGAGCCTGGCCAGGTCGCAGAGGCGAGGCAGCAGGAGCTTTTCGGGGATGGCCCCCAGTTCAGTGTTGAGCTCAGACTCCATGGAAGAGAAGTAGTTTTCAGTAGAAAGCGTCTAGTGACGGGAGGTCCACGTTGACCTGCGGCTCTGGTGTCGTCAGGTGCCAGCTCTGACTCACAAGTAGGTCTTCCCCAGGGGTCAGAGATCATCAGTGACGCCATGCAGTCCTTCGTCCCTGGGTCCTTTTCTTTTCCTTTTCTCTTTTCCCTTTCTGAGTGGGTCTCTGTTCATTTCTGCACTCCTCCCTCTTCCTTCCCTTTGTTTCCTCTTCCGTGTTGCGTTTTCCTTATTGTCCTTTATCAGATACATCTTCCTGGTGCCAGGGCCACCCTCTCTGCACGCGTGCTTCTTACGTTCTCCTTCCCTGCCTGCTTTGTCTTCCAGGCACATGCACACACAGTCACACGTGCACGCTCCCCCCAGACGTGTCCCTAGAGCTGCACCGAGGGCCTGAGCTGCCCCAGCCCAGGCTGCCCACCAGAAAAGCAGGCTAACCCTGGCGTGACGCTGGCTCCCAGCAGGCTCCAGATCGGAGTGGTCACACTTGAACAAATGTTTTTCCCAGAGTAGCAATAGGGTTTTTATTTGTAAAGTAATTTATATTTCTTGCAAAAACTTTAGACAGTGCAGAAGCAGAGACAGCTGGCAAGGCCACATGCCCTTCTCGGTGGTCAGCTCTGTAAAGGTCGCAGCAGGGATGGCACTACACCACTGCCCTTGCTGATGGCTGGCCCTGTGGGGCCCCCGGGCGCTGGTGTTGTTCATTTACATGCTCCTCAGCAGCCGCGGGCGGGACTCTTGCCGTTCTTGTAGATATGGAGGTGTGCCACAGGCAGCGAGCAGTGGCCTGGCACTGGGCCCCACCGCCGTGTGGTGAGTGTAAGTGCACAGTGTCACATGTATGACGACTGTTGCCACGTTCGGCACCTTTCCGTGTCAGCACATGCAGAGATGCGCTGTATGTGCACTGCCTCCTTTTCGATGAGCCCCCTTTCCACAGTCATTTACGTAATCGCCATTTCCTTGGCTGGAGTGTGACACGGTGCTGCTAGTTGGTGAGAAAGGCATTGCCGCAGACCCTGCCAGCGTGCACCCGGGACAGGTGTGCCCTCTCACTCCCCACGCGCCTCGTCAGCCGCCTTTTCCACTTTGGTGATGAAAATCATTTTAATTTACATGGGATGTGGTAACAAGTCTGTCATGAACAGGCCCAGGATGACTAATGACTTTCTTGTTTGCCTTTCTGGATTAAAATCCACTTAGTCACCATGAAATAAAAAATGGCAGTTGCTTCAGAGCTGCTGTCTGCGCTTCGTTTTCTGTAATGTCCGTAGACCCTGGGCTTTCCCGAGTGTGTCACCGTGTCTGCTGACGTTCTGGCCCCTTCCACCTACCCAGGAGCGGTTCCAGTTCCCTTCCCACGTCACAGACGTGTCTGAAGAAGCGAAGGACCTCATCCAGAGGTTGATCTGCAGCCGAGACCGCCGCCTGGGCCAGAATGGGGTAGAGGATTTCAAAAAGCACGCGTTTTTTGAAGGTCTCAATTGGGAGAACATACGAAATCTAGAAGCACCGTACATCCCTGACGTGAGCAGTCCTTCCGACACGTCCAACTTCGACGTGGACGACGACGTGCTAAGAAATGCTGTGAGTGCGGGCATCGGGGTGCTCTCAGCTGCCCGCAGCAGGTCTGCATCTTGGCAGTGTCTGCGGGGGTGCTGGTCGTCAAGGTAACGCTTGGAGAAGTACACGTGTGTTTTGAAAAAGTCAGCAGTCGTCTCCGAAAGGGCACCTGTTACTCCAGCCTCCAGCCTGGTCCTTTGGGACCGGTGGGCACCAGCGTCAGGAGATGGCGCTTGGTCTGTTACTCACCAGGAGTACATCTGCGTACTTCAGGGCACGTCATAGCTTTCCACAGCAGCGTCCCCTGGTTGCTGTGAAGGGAGACTTGCAGTGTGTCTGGCACGGCCTGCAGGCCCGCTGGCCTTTTGGTTTTAGGCTTCATTTCCCAGGTGTGAGAGACGCTGCATCCTCCCACCATGGCAGGCCTCTGCTTCTCCGTTTCTGTTTCTTTATGTGACCAGAGCTCAGGACTCGGGAGCGGCAGTGGGGATAACTCGTCTGAGTTTGTGCTGGCGTGAGGGTCACGGGTCTGGGCTCAGGGACTGTGGGGCTCTGGCCAGGCCTGCACGCCTCTTTGATGCACTGGCCAGGCCTTTTGGTCCTGGAGAATTTCGCTCAGATCTTATCAAATTATTTTGGTCTGAACAAACCTGTACATGTGACTTGGTTTGAGGATAGAGTGAGATTTAACCAAGTAAAAGAAAATTCTTGATCACCCCAAAGAGAATTCCTCATACTCAGTGCCATCTGCTGTCGTCTATGTGTTTTACCCCACGACTTCTGGGAGCAAGTACTCATGGCCCTGGGAAAGCCCAGGGTTCCGGTGTTCAGGACGGAGCCTCTGCTAAGTACCCTCGGGCTCATGGGAAGGTCGCCTTCGCACTTCTTGCTGCGATGGCCCCACATTCAGAGCTGAGAGCTACACCTCAGGCCACGGAGGGAAGGCTGAGACGAGCAGTAACATCACGGAAAGGGGTTTTTCCTAGAGGCCAGAGAAACTGTTTCCAACTGGAATTTCCCAGATAATTAACTTGGCTTTACTTCTAATAAAGAAAGGTCTTCAGACTGGAAAACAGAATAGTAAGAAACTGTCGTGAACAGTCTGCTTTCGGGCCAGGTCTCTGCTGCGGGCCTCAGACCCAGCTCCTGAGGGTGCCCAGCCTCTGTTGGGCATGCACTCCTCAGAGGCCCACCTCCTGAGCTGGCGTTTCCACCTGCCCTACGTCAGGCAGCGGTTCTATGGCTTTGACAAGTATGAGAACCGCTAATGACCCAGTGTGGATTGTGTATTGTCATCAGAACCTGTGTGCTGTGGGGTGCGTGGACTGGTACGGCCGTAGTGAGCGGGCGGGTGTGCCCCTGCCCAGCACCCTCCCGACTTCGTTACCCTGAGCGTCTCTCTCCCCACTTCGTCGGAACGTAGATTTCATTCCAGTATTATGTGCTCTTGTGCAGGAGATACTGCCTCCTGGCTCCCACACGGGCTTTTCCGGATTGCACTTGCCGTTCATCGGTTTTACATTCACAACTGAAAGGTGCGTCCCGATTCATCCTTCCCAGGCGGAGCCTCCCTCGGGGAGGTCTGTGGTCTCAGCGTGCTCCGAGCATGTGTACACTCGGGCCAGGGTCTGGGAGGGCGCTGCTGATGGGAGACGTCCATGAGTTCTGTCCTGAAGGGGTAGGGTGATGGTGTATATCAAAGTCTGCCGACTCGGGGGCCAGGTCTCATGGTTAAGGCACCGATCCCGCGGGGCTGACTGCAGTTCGAACCTTAGAGCCAGTGGCTTGAGAACCATGCCAGGCGCATGTGTGTGCGTACCCAAAATCCTAAGAGGATACTGGCGGAGAAAGGACTGGCACGGCCATCCCCTGTGGGGGCTGATTTCTTACTTTCTTGCTGTCTCCAGTGAAGACGTGTGCCCTATAGCAAACTTAAAAAAAAGTCAGCTCACTTTTTCTATAAAGGGCCAGATAGTGAGTAATTTAGGTTTTGTGATCTCTGTTTTATACTCTTCTTTTATAACTCTAAATATGCAAAACCAGGCCAGCGTGGTGTGGGGGTAAGGCAACTGTGCCCTGCTGGGCTGACAGCACGGCCCACACCTGGTGACTTGGGAAACACTGGACACACATGAGTGTGCACCCAAAGCCCTGAGGAGGGCGAGGTGGGTGAGAAGGGAGCGTGCTGTGACCATCCCTCTCCTGGACAGTGTTTTCTCACTTAAAAACATTTCATTAAAAGCCAAAAAAATGTTTTTAATTTAAAACATGAACGCCCTCAGCTCGTGGACAGTACATAAAAGCAGGGCGGGGCTTTTCTGATAGCCGCCGGCCACAGCCAGGGCCAGTGGGCGTCCTCGTGCTCAGCTGTGGGCATCTCTCGAGCATTGCCCGTCTCGGGAGGGTCTCCCTCGGCTGCAGCTCCATGGCTGCCTTTAGTGGGCAGCAGTGTACATGTGACTTGGTTTGAGGATAGAGTGAGATTTAACCAAGTAAAAGAAAATTCTTGATCACCCCAAAGAGAATTCCTCATACTCAGTGCCATCTGCTGTCGTCTATGTGTTTTACCCCACGACTTCTGGGAGCAAGTACTCATGGCCCTGGGAAAGCCCAGGGTTCCGGTGTTCAGGACGGAGCCTCTGCTAAGTACCCTCGGGCTCATGGGAAGGTCGCCTTCGCACTTCTTGCTGCGATGGCCCCACATTCAGAGCTGAGAGCTACACCTCAGGCCACGGAGGGAAGGCTGAGACGAGCAGTAACATCACGGAAAGGGGTTTTTCCTAGAGGCCAGAGAAACTGTTTCCAACTGGAATTTCCCAGATAATTAACTTGGCTTTACTTCTAATAAAGAAAGGTCTTCAGACTGGAAAACAGAATAGTAAGAAACTGTCGTGAACAGTCTGCTTTCGGGCCAGGTCTCTGCTGCGGGCCTCAGACCCAGCTCCTGAGGGTGCCCAGCCTCTGTTGGGCATGCACTCCTCAGAGGCCCACCTCCTGAGCTGGCGTTTCCACCTGCCCTACGTCAGGCAGCGGTTCTATGGCTTTGACAAGTATGAGAACCGCTAATGACCCAGTGTGGATTGTGTATTGTCATCAGAACCTGTGTGCTGTGGGGTGCGTGGACTGGTACGGCCGTAGTGCGCGGGCGGGTGTGCCCCTGCCCAGCACCACCCCGACTTCGTTCCCCTGAGCGCCT